ATGTACCCCAAGTTTCGATCAACGATCCTTCGGGAGGAACCTTTAAATTTAATACAAATCGAGAGGCCGAATCGTACAAAAGTTTTCGCGTGTCACTTGATGATCCATGCTATAAGGTTCTGCCTGCTGCACTCAAAAAATATAGGATTACAGATGACTGGAGGCAATACGCCTTGTTTATTTGTTATGGTGGTCCAGGTACAATATATAGCAAAATGGTATAGGGGATTGCCGTAGATTCACGTGGTGAGATAAGGGATTGTGTTTAGTGTATCATTATTATTATAGATTAAGCTACGAGGGAAAATTCTTGATTTACGGCAGTTCCCTGATATTCAAACCCATTTGTATAATCAAGATTCTGAAACCTCACACACATATGCTTTACAATAACCAATAGATCACCCGACAGAACGTTGCCTGAGCTATGATGAAAAACCTTTGTTATTATTCCAAAAGTTGAAGGAAGCTAATCAGAACCCGGTTTTCACGTTAAAGAATATTAAGGATATTAAATCGCCAGTATCCACGGCAGAGGAAATCATCAGTTCTTTGAAACCAAATCGACGCACGACACAATTTTTGAACAAGGATTTGCCTCCAGCACCGAACGAATATTCAAACCTTCCTCAACCATCAAATGCTTATAATTCGGTAATTGATGAACAGTATCCGGAAGAGACGCTAATAGAGGGTAACGGAACAGCTGTTGCAATTTATCCATACGTACCTGCACTTGAAGATGAACTGAATGTTACTGTGGGTGACGTTTTCAAAATTAAGAGTAAGTCTGGGGGTTGGTGCTTTGTCGAAAAGGATGAACTAACGGGATGGGTGCCCGCGAACTTTTTGCTCGAAACGAACGTTAATGGAAGCGACATGATGGATAGCGATAACCCTTATGTAGGTAGAGGAGTGGCTTTGATTGATTACGAAAGGAACACTGATGAAGAACTTAGTATGAAAAAAGACGATCTGCTTCGCATTTACAAGAAACAAGATTATTGGTTGTATTGTGAGATAAACAATGAGCGTGGGTGGGTACCTAGTTGGTATGTCCGGATAGATAAGGAAGTTAAAGAGATGATGGACGACGATGAAAGCGAGGTAAATTATTTTTAATGAGAGCCCATTTAATATTTTTTAGGCTTCTTTTTTTTTTTTATCAATATTTTCATATGTTCTTGTCTTATAGGATGCACACATGATTTACAAAGGCGATGCTGATTGAATTGCTTTCTATTATTTCTTTTCTTCTTTTATATATATTCGAACCAGGTGGACCCTACGAGGTAAACAGGTTTAATGAACTTAA